GCCCAACCCCTCAATCCCCTGTAACTGGAGTTACAGGCCCACTGTCATACCTGGTGTTTTATATGGGTTCTGGGGATCTGAACTCAGTTCCTCATGTCTGTATGGCAGGTACTGACTGAGCCATTCCCCAGCCCACTTACTGTCAGCTTTTTACAGCATTCTATTCCAAGCCCCCAAAAGACATGTAAAACTCTGCAGGCCTTGGCCTTGGAATCCACTAACAACAGAACCTCTCAGACCTTTCCCTCCCTACTGAAATGAGGGTAACTGTCTATAAAAGCAAGGCCATGCCCTAGAGCAGGGGTGATCACCCATAGTCACCAGGTTGCTCCTTGCAAGCGATGAGGTCTTCTTTGAACCACCCTGCAGAACCAGAACTGGGTAAGAACATCCAGACCACACCTTAACCAGGTCATCTTAATTATGTCCAGCTCTTGTCCCCTGGTGAATTCTCCCTCTTAAACTTAAAGCTCTCCTCCGTGCCCTGAAGATGGACTTGGAGGAATCACCAGACCCCTCTATCTTTTCATCTTTCATTGCGAACATTGATTAAATCTCTCCTGTCTCTGTCTCTGCTTCTCACTATTACTCACCTCTTTGATTGGCATATTTGGATGGGTAGCCAAGCCTAGTCCCTGGGACTCCCGAAGCTGGTGCCTTTGCCCTAAAACTGTTTCTTCTAGAGCACAGAGCATTCTCCTCTGCCTGGTACATCCCTTCCCCAGTGCCTGTCAAAGTTTTTTTTTTATTTCATTTTATTATCATGTGTGTGTGAGAGACGGGGAGAGACTGAGAGGGGAGGATGTGGGGAGTATGTGTGTCAGAAAGCAACTCTGTGGAGCCAGTTCTCTCCTCCACTTTTATAAGGGCTCTGATGATCATACTCAGGTGGTCAGGCTTCTGTGCCAAACACGTTGGTGGTGCCAAACAGCTTGGTGGTGTACCTATCCAATTTTTAACAAGTGGAACTCCAGCTTGTTCCAGGGGGGCATCTGTATTTCACTTTTGCTACGGCTAGATGGACATCTGGGAAGCCAGTGTCCAGCTTTCATGCCCCAGCTTGTCATCTGCTTCTGTAGCTTGTTCCTGGGGTCACAAGTAGAGGCAGACTTTGGTGGGAGGGGCTGTCAAGATAGTTTGGAGTTCAGGTTGCTTATCAGGAATTAATGCCTGTGAAAGAAAAACAGGCAAAGGCTAGTGATTTGTTGTTCCCTAAAACATTCTCAGTCAACCTAGGAATGAGATGTGGGGTAAACACTGACTGCCAGGAGAGACATGCCTCTCAACTGTACTCTCTGTCTTCACAGTAGACTTAACTAGTTAGGAGGTTCTTCAGGTAAGGCAACAGGGGATGAGCCTGAAGTCTCTGATAGCT